AACTCTCCAGGTGAGACTTCCTTATGGCGATGATAATAATAATGTTAATAATAATAATAATAAAGATAATAATAATAAAGATAATAATGACAAATGATGAAAATGATATATTCCGTCGATATAGGCCATTTGCACTTACGATCTTTCATCTTAGGTAACAGATTATGTTCTTTGAGTGGGCGTGGTAATCAATGTAAGTACGTAGAAAGAAGTGTCTCTGCTCTTTCCTGTTTTCGGAGGTTTTGTTAATGTTCTTATTAACCATTCTCTTTCTCCCTCTCTCTCTCTCTCTCACTCTCTCTCTCTCTCTCTCCCGCTCTCTCTCTCTCTCTCTCTCTCTCTCTCTCTCTCTTTCTCTCTCTCTCTTTTCTCTCTCTCTCTTTTCTCTCTCTCTCTTTTTGTCTCTCTCTCGCTCTCTCATTATCCTTTTGTTTCTCTCTATAAATCTCTTTCAATCACAATCATCATCATTAAAAAACAACTTTAAAAAACCCAAACAAATCAACAAACAAAAACCCCCCACATAAACACCTAATTATACACAAGACCCACAAAGTAACCCCCCCCCTCCTTCTCCCCCTCTCTCCCTAACCTTCCGCACCAGTTGACCCCAGTGACGTACGTAACCTCATAGAGGTCAGCTCTGCACAATTTGGTGCACAGACTGCAGTCTCAGCGATTTTTGACGGTGAGTACGCTATGTTTATAAGAGGATTTTCCCTTCAGTTTAGTGGTAGATGGTGCACACATTATATGTTAATATTATAGGATGACTACAGGGGAAGAACGACGGTAGTCACAAACTGAAAATCGTGAGGGTACGTACCAATTTTGAACACTTGTTCACTCATAACTGTATTTCTGTTCAACTGTTATTTGATTATTGTTGTTAGATTTCCCATTCAACAACACTTAACTTAACAATAAACCACCAGTCAAAGAAATATTAAGTTATGAGTTCACAAACTTTTAAAATTAGCACCATCACAATTTCCAGTTTGTGACTCAAGTCGTTTTTCTCTCTGTACTTTTCATTAATTTTAAAAAGTCTTTTTTCATTTTATGGATGGTGCTTTCACATTGCTAATGAGCCCTTTAACTTTTTTAATGCTATAATCTTGATCATGAGAAAGAGATGATTGGCATAAATACAAATGAAAGCTTACTTGAGTTGACGAAAGAATAACCCAGTTGTCTAAGAAGTGCACTACTCAATAGACAAAGCAAACTAAAGAACTAAAGGAAAGTGTCTTTTGGACCGGAGAACGTATGTCATTAGATCGGTACTTTTTCTAATATTTATAATCATATGACTATTAACATTGCATTTTAAAGTGACATATGAAGACAGAAATACGTACTTTGAAGATTAGATAAAATCTCTTTTAATATTTATATCCATAATATTAAGCTTTCATTTTCAAGTAGCCTGTGGAGAAATAACTATATGTACTCTGAAGATTAGATAAAGTTGCTACAGTTACATCCTTTCCGAAAGTGTTGCCATAGTGACCTAAATGACGTCACTGTTTGCCGTCTCCACAGACGCCATGACGGTGCAGGGAGAAAAAATGGCGGCGGCGCTGAGGCTGTGGGACAGTCTGGTGGACACGGCCAGGGAACAACAAGGTCTGTACTTCTCGTCTGCTCCCACATTTGTCACACTTCTTGAGAAAACAAATACAGGGCAATTTTTGAAGTTCTCAAGGGGCGGGGGGGGGGGGGGGATTCTTACCTCTCCTTTCCTTTGACCTTTTTTTAAACAAAAAAATGCGGTGGCCGTTGTTGTTTTCTTTTTTTCTGTCCTTTTAGGTCTGTATGCTTTTTTTCATTTCCTGTTTGTCATATTATTATGATACCCACCCGAAGTAACAATCAAAAGACCTTAGAAAATGTTCCAAACTACCTCTTTTAGGATTCTAACTGAGGCCTTCAATACAATATTAGATTTTCTCGTTTTCTTCTTACGAGATTTTGGTTACATCTGTGATGGACTCAAACTGTCACCAGCGACCAGCAGAAGTGCAGGGCGTGTGTCTTGCACAGTGGCGACCGACAGTGGCATTGTTTGTAAACTGTTCTGTATTTGTGTAATAGTGTGTATTTATGTATGCATTTATGCATGTATGTATTTATGTATGTACGTATTTATAATTATGTATTTATGTATGTATGTTTGCCATTGTAAAACAAAGTGCCCTTCTGGGACAAATAAAAGTGTAATTTATTATTATCATTATTATTATTATTAT